TTTTTTTTTTTTCTTTTAGGGTTTTATATATGTCTCCCCATTGCCTTCTTGTCTGCACATTTTCTACTGAGAAGTGAGAACTTAATCTGATTTGTTTGCCTTTGTAGGTAACACTTCTCTTTTCCCTGGCTGCTTTTGGGATTCTCTCCTTGTCTGATTTGGGGGAGCTTGATTACGCTATGTCTTTGTGATTTTCTTTGGGGGAGTCCATTCTTCCTGGGATTTGTTCAGCTTCTTGAATGCTTATCTTTTTATCCTTCAAGATGTTGGAGAAATTTTCTTCCAGAAGCTCCTCAACTATCTCCTCTATGGACTTGTGTGATTCTTCCTGTTCCGGGATGCTATAAATTCTTAAGTTATTCCTCTTCATGTTATCCAGCATTAATCTTAGACTCTCTTCAGATTTTTTTTAATCCTTTTTCTGCTTGCTCTTCAATTTTAGCAGTATTGAGAGATTTGTCTTCCAGCTCACTGGTTCTGGCTTCCATCTCTTCAATTCTACTCCTTTCTGTATGGTGTCCATTTCTGATATTTTATTATTAATCATCTGGAACTCTTTTTGCAGGTTTTGAATTGTTTCCAATGCTATATCTATCTTGTTTGATTGCTCCTATAGCACTTTCCTAACTTCTTCCTTATTTTCCTCTACCCCTCTGTGGAACATTTGGATTTGTCTATGGAGACAAGCTTCTTCATTCTTCTGAATTCCTTCTTGGGCAGATCCAAAGCCTGCTCTTCTTCTAATGGGAAGTCTATGTCTGCCTCCAGCTCATTTGTCTCAATAACTCTTTTCTGTTTTGGGGCATGTGCTGAGATTTTTGTTGTTTTTTTTCTTCAACATTTTCAGTAGTTAGATGCATTTTCAATGATTAAATGAATGTATGTTGCTGTGTTGTTATGTTTACTGAGTGTCTCCTGATGCATGTGATCTGGAGATGGGCTTCCCTTTTTACGTGTAATGCCTAGCAGCTGATATTGGCTCCTGTCCAGATGGTTGGATATTATGGGGTATGCTTGTAGCTTGGCTATATGGCCATGCTTGCTGTTTCTTCTTTGTTAATGTAGGGAGAGAAAGCTCCGACCCCCAGGAAAAAAGTGAAACCAAAAGGACCAAAAACAGAAATGATATAAAAGCAGAGACAAAAACCACCACTCAAAACAAACATAAAACCATAGCTCATTGACCAGTAGCCTTTGCTGCAAGGTCAGTGTGTGTACACAGTAGAAACCTGCAGCGGTAGGTGAGAGTGTCCAAGCGCCTCCTCTAGTCACCACCATAGAGGTGTGCAGATAGATATTGAGAAATTAATGGAAGAAAGATTGTCCACTATTTTTATCTCTCAAGGCCAGTTAAGTATCTGTGTAGGCACAGTGTAATTCTCAAAATAGCTGCATCCTTGTATGTAGTAGTTGGTGTTGGCTTTTACCTTTTATGTTGGGGTTTTACAAGGTGCACATATGGTTTGACTGAATGGCCAGACTTGCTGCCTCTTGTTAGGTAAGGCAGAAATGAAGGGTCCTACCCAGGTCAACTTTAGGGATGAGTCCCAAAGTCATACGTTATAAGAAGCAGCCAAAGAATTAGCTTGTGGGACCACTGGAAGTCCCAAGAATTTCCACCCTGTGCTGTGGGGAAATTGTGGGCACAACACTGAACCCTTTTGGGGGTGCACTCCCACCTACCTGAAGGTGTCCAGGCTGTGCAGAAAGGGTGCAACAGGGAAGAGGAGAAAATAAAACTGAAAAATCCATCACACCTTTTTTTTCTAGCTGCCGCTCTGTGATTTTTAGCACTGTATGACTGTATCAGCTTTGCTGTGGCCCCGCCCTCTGATCTCAGCCCAGGCCAAGGGGCCTGCAGGCAGCATCCCAATTGATTTAGAAATCATTGTGCTTTCCCTCCATAGTCAGATTTCTCCACCAATGGGTGCAGGAAACTGACACCCTGCAACTTATATTAGATCAAGAGCTCTGGAGCTGCTCCGGGAAATTGCCTCCTCTGGTTTTTTTCGCACCTCCACTGAGGAGTCTCCCCTACCTGTCTCTGCTTCTACTGCCCCCTAAGTCTATATACTTTTGAAGGTGATGTTTCCATCTCTCTTAATTCTTCCCTGAATGGATTCCTGATGTGGTGCTGTAGGATCAGCACTGGACTTTAAACCATAAGGTTAGCTGTTCAAACCCACCAGCTGCTCCTCAGAAATCCTTTATAGCATCACTATGAGTCGGAACCAACTCAGTGGCCCTTGACAACAACAAAAGTCATTCCCTGAAAAATTCTGGGCTATTCAACTTACATTAAGTTAAAATGATAGATTGGGCATCCTCAAAGAACTTAAATCATGTTCTTTTTAAATGGTCTTTGAGTTTGGGGAACAAAAAGAAGTCTGAAGGGTCAAGATGAGGGTTGGAGGGCAGATGAGATAAGGTTTCCCAGTGAAATTCTTATAAGACAGTTCTTGTTGCTATTAAAGAATAAGCAGGTGTATTTTCATGATGGAAAAAAAATTCCTTGGCAAAATTTTTGGCCTTTTTCTCACTAACACAGTGTTGAGCTTTCTTTAAACTAATTTCTAATAAGCTCCCATGATCATCCTGTGTCCTTCAAGAAAATCTATCAAGATTACTTCATTGGAATCCCCCTGAAAAAAAAAATAATAATAATTGCCACAACTTTCTGAACTGACTTTTCTATGAATTTAACATACTTAGAGCAGATCCCTATTTGGAAACTACTGTTTTGATTGTACCTTCTGTTTTGAAGGCATTAAGGAGCTCTGGTAGTGTAGTGGTTACGAATCAGGCTACGAACCGCAAGGTCAACAGTTTGAAACTACCAGCTGATCTGCAGGAGAAAGATGAGACTTTCTGCTCCCGTAAAGATTTACAGCCTCAGAAACCCTGTTCAGGGTCGCTATGGGTTGGAACCGACTCGACGGCACTTAACAACAACAACTAGCAAGATTTTGGACTCAAGTGTGGCGACAGTAGTGAGGTTGGCCCAGGATCGGGCAGTGTTTCATTCTGCTGTGCATAAGGTCGCTATGGGTCAGTACTGACTTGATGGCACCTAACAACAACAAACAACTAGTGAGATTAAGACAAATGTATTACCAAGAGAACTTGTCTGCAGCCACCCATTGATTGCAGACATGTTTAAATATGTTTTGTTTGGAATAAACCTTTGTATGTTTAAGCTGGAATCCTAATAGCAATACTTTTTTAGTTACTTTCATAGATAAGTAAAAATCCATATTTTCTAGGTAAATTAAAAATGCATAAATATCCTCATTATTCTGGATACATGTACAAGTATGTAAATGTAAAGGTAGTAAACAGGTGAGATAGAAACAGAATCCATGGAATGGGCTTGGGCTGAGTGTGCTAAGGGAATTACAATTGTGCTCTATTTTTTGTTCTTAACTAAAACAAACAGAACAGATATAACCAAATGTTAACATTGGCCTATTTAGAATGCTAACATGGCCTGGTGGTGGAAATCTAGACATTTGTTCTACTAGCCTCTGTGTTTCTATGATTTCGAAGATACCCACAATAAGAACTGTGAGAACATAGTTAGCAGAAAATCAAGTCTCATTTGCTATGCAGACAGTCACTTAGAGGCCCCATCTGCTGCAGAAGAAAATGCCCTGATCTCTTTGGACACCTCTCTTATCTCATTCCTACCTGTAGTAAAGTGATTCCAATATAACTGCATTTAAAACATCCTAGACAGTTCCATAACTTCATGCTCCAGTACGTACCCTGACATTTCACTGGGGGCCAGAGGGTAATGCCCACACTGTGACACGGTTACAGATTTTATTTTATTAAGACTTCTCCAAGGGAACATCCATTAAAAAAAAAGCTAGAACCCTCTGTAGCACAAAATTCTTGGGACTACTTGAGATTCATATTTGCTTCCTAGTCATCTCAGACTGTTGTTGTTAAGTGCCATCGAGTCAGTTCCAACTCACAGTTACTCCGTATGAGGAACAGCTGGTGGGTTTGAACTGCCAACTTGTGATTTAATCCAAACCTGAGGTCCGGGTCTTAACTACAATGCCACACTAGCTCTTGTCCTTGACAGTTCATAGAAAAATAGGTCTTTGAGATCCACAACAATGGTCTGTGTCTGTAATGTGCTATTATAATAAATGTCTCTTTCTCTGAAGCCTTCTCCCCCTTGAGAGAAGGAATGAAATGTCAACTAAGTTTGTATTTGAATAAATTTGCATTTATTCAAAACCAGAGACAACTCTAAAACCAAACCAAACCCACTACTATCAATTATGACTTACAGAAACCCTATGGGACAGAATCCTAGTGTGGCGATATGGAATAATGCACTAGACTGCAAAATCAGTTTGAACTGCAAGATTGGAGGTTCAAACTCACTAACTGCTCCTCGGAAACCCCATACAGGGTCTCTGTGAGTCAGAACTAACTCCGTGGCACTTAGCAACAACAACAGGACAAAGTAGAAATGTCCCCATAGGTAGGGTTTCTAAGGCTATAAATCTTTACAGAAGCAGACTGCCTTATCTTTCTCTGGTAGGTTCAAGCCACTAACGTTTTTGTTAGCAGCCAAATACTTTACCCCCTATATTACCAGGGTTCCTTCTGATCTGAAATTAGATCTTGTTTAAACCAGGATTTTGAATGTTGTCCATTCCAATTCAACCCTCTACTGAAAATTTGCATTTCTATCCCTGATATTGTTGTTGTTGTTGTTGAGTGCCATCGAGTCGGGTCCTACCCATAGCGACCCTGTACAGGGTTTCCGAGGGTGTAAATCTTTACGGGAGTAGAAAGCCTCATCTTTCTCCCGTGGAGCGGCTGGTAGCGGATCAGAATCTATATGTTAACAAGATCCCCATGGGGCTCTCTAAGAATCATGGGCTTGAAGTCCTGAATTAAACTTAGACATAAGAGCAGTTACAGATTAATCAAGTATTGAACTTAAAATAAATCATCTTCTTGTGTTTCCTTTTTTCCAGATCTGCGATTTCTCTCTCGGTGGCCGTTCTGTGTGGGTGCCAAGTTCCTCACATGATTTAATGGATAAGAAGGTCAGATGTCAGTCATGACTTTACTGTTTGGAGACTCGTGATCTTTGCCACTGATTATCATTTTTTTTTTTTTAGTATTATGAGAATCATCTCATGTGTGGTGTTGTTGCTGTTGTTATTTAACATAGTTTGTAATTCTGTGGGTATTCAGGAGAAAAACGAAACATGAAATGGGCTTAAAATACATGAAGCAAAGAAAGGTTATGAATACACTTTGGAGAAAAAGTAATACCAGGGAGAGAAAGGAGCCCATTTGTCACTTGTTATGTGGGAAAATTGTTCTGGATGATGATCCAGAGTGTTCCTCAATGCATCTTTTCTTTTAGTACTGTAATATGCATAAAAATTCGATAACCCAGAGGATAGAGCAAGTCAGATAGGGTGTAAGCGTCGGCCCCAGTCAAGATCCACTTTCTTTATTAACAAACTCTCTGAATCCTCCCTTTAATCCCACGGTGTTTTGTAATATTGAGTGGCCCGTTTGGAACACTAGATTATAATTTGGAACCCAGTTTGTTTACGTTATTATAACAACACAGTTTAAGTTTGTCTCTGTAGTTAAGGTTGTGTCAGCACTTTCCTTTCTGTGTTTATTATTTTTAGCAGTTGAAAAGTGAACCAGGAAAAAATGTCTTTCTGGCTGTAAGATGACTTTCAGGCTTGGCCAGGGTCTGGTGGAGTCTATAGAAATACTTGAAGGCTGCAGGAGTCTGGTCTTTTCAATGATGTCTTTGTGCCTCCCCTTCCCCACGGCCCCTGGCCTATTGTCCAGGCGCCTCAGTTTTGGTGGTGCTATCTGATTGTAACTAGTACTAATATTACAGTGCTCAATACCCAGGCCCTCACCCAGGGCCCCCAGTCTGGCTGCCTCTGTCTCCTAGATCTCCCTTGGGTGGGTGAGTGGGGGGGACAAGTCACAGCTCTTGTATCAGAAAACAGTATTTGTAATTTATGGCATATTCAAGAGGAAGGGATCCCTAAGAATCATCTAGACCTATGGTGCTCTTTTTACCCATAGAGACCCCCTTCTCCCAAGTAAAATCTTACAATGAATCACAATTTGTAAGAAACATGAAAGTAAAGCTGCTTTGTCTGAAGGTGAGAAGGGTAGCCATAAACCTCACATCTCGGCCTTGTCGTCACCTTATCCCCAATCAAGGTGATTTCTGAGCTCCAGTCCCAGGAACACCAGGCTCCTCAGAATACATGCACATCATTCGTTTCCTCATATTTCTCAATTCAAAGATAAGGAAACTCAAATTTTTATGGATGTCCAAATAACGAGGCATTAAACACAAAAGAGCACAGGCTGTATGAATCCACTAACAATGTTCTAGAAATGGAAAAACTAGACTATGGTGACAGAAATTAGAACAGTGGTTACCTCAGGAAGGAGATGAGAATAACTGGGGAAGAGACAAGAAATTTTCTGGAATGCTCCATGTCTTTATAAAAGTGTAGGTCATGTGAGTGTACACATTTATCAAAACTCATCCATGCATTTTAGTGTATGTAAATGATACCTCAATTAAAAAATGAGAACCAAAAGGGAAATAAAACAAAACAATAAATGAGGCAGTTAGTAGATAAAAATACAGTGGCCAGATCAACTTTTTAAAAAGCTGAGTGGGCTTTTTACTGAGTTGGGTCTAAGTTCATCATGCAAAAATTTCAGAAGATTGGAGAACTTGCTGCTCTTGTTTGTTTAATAATACTAAACTCAGAGGATCTCTAAAAATGGAACAGGCATTAGGGGTTTTCCAGGGTGTAATGTGACTCAGGTGTGATATATGGAAGCAATGGGATGAAGAGCCCAGGTAAAATTCTTTATTTCATTGACCATGGAAACCAAATCCTATTACCCTTATGTTGTGTAACAATGAGCCGTAGACACAAGTCATTATCCACATGGATTGTGTTGAACTTTGGAGGTTCTGAGAAGCTCCTGAAAAACCTTTGCCTGGAGGGGTGCTGGTAAATGGGCAGTATCTGGGTCACCTATCCAAGATTCAGCTTGGCTTTCATCTGTTTAGGTATTAGGATCTAGATAACATTTTATATAATATTAAGGGACCCACAAATGAAAAAGAGTTGGCAGTTATTGCATGTACTATACACGCATTTGGGTGTACAGTATATTATTGCATTAACTTGGAATGCTGCTCCTTTATGCACCCTGGTTTATTTCTCTTGAATGTTTACAGCCATGGATCTAGGTTGGCATTGAATGTACCGTCTACAGACTCACACTGATCAGAACACAGTCTAATAATTATGGATAGTCTTGGCTTCAACTCCTACCCCACTAAAGAAATGTCTCTTGTAAGCCCCTGAAAGATTGTGACCCAATCAGGAACATTGTGAGAAAAAAGAAAGATCAAAACAAGCTTGAGACACCCTGGAGGTGCTGAGCTTATATGTGGTCATTGTAGGCTCTCCATTCAATGCTGTACTGATTTTTGCCTCAAGAAAACAGAAGATGCTGTTCTTTAATTTGGGATTTTATATTGTTCCATGACATCTATTTCTTGCATAGAAACCTCATTTTTGCCATGCATTATTTTTACATTGTTATGAATTGAATTGTGCCCACCCCCCACCAAAAAAAAATCAACAACAACAACAACAAAAACCATGTGTCAACTTGGTGAGGCTATGATTCCCATAATTATGTAATTATATCAATTTTCTAATTAGCCTATGTGTTGTAAATCCTAACCATTATGATGTTAATGAGGCAGGATATAATGTATAGGATTAGGTTTTATCTTGAGTTATTCCTTTTTGAGATGTAAAAGAGATTAAACAAGAGATCAGAAGGACCTGACTGCAAGCAAGAAAGAAGAGCTGAAAGTGAAGGGTGTCCTGTAGACCCAGGGTCCCTGTGCTGAGAACCTCCTTGATCTTGGAGAAGATTGATGCCAAGATACATGGATATCTCCAAGGAATGCCAGATCCACAGTTATTGAAAGGAGACAAGGTCCTTCCTCCAGGTCCCATGGAGAGAGAAAACTTTCCCCAAGACCAGGCACCATGAATTCAACCTTCTAGCCTCTTTAAACTATGAAAAATACATTTATATTTCTTAAAGCCATCTATTCGTGCTATTTCTGTTATAGCATCACTAGATAACTAAGACAGCCCAAGGAGGTACAAGTGGTTATCATGCTCATCAGCGAAACAAAAGGTTGACAGTTCAAATCTAGCCAGAGATAACTTGAAATAGAATGCTGGAGATTTACTTTTGATAAGTCAATTATTGAAACTTCTATGGAGTACAGTTCTACTCATCATAGATTGGAATAGATTCAACAACTGATATTAATAATTCTGGGAAAAATCTTTATGATATTTCAAACTTTTGCTTATGGTGGTGGTGGTGGTTATGTGTCGTGGAGTTGATTCTGAATCATAGCGACCCTGTACAGGGTTTCCAAGGCTGTAAATCTTTATGAGAGCAGAAAGCCTCATCTTTCTCCTGAGGAACATCTGGTAGTTTCGAACTGCTGTCCCTAGCGTTAGCAGCCCGATTTGTAGCCATTATGCTATAGTCATCTTTTTTCAATGACATATAAAATACAAAATTTCTCTTTTTCTTTTGATTTGGTTGATGGTTTACAGAGCAAATGAGTTATTCATTCAACATTTCATATACATTATTTTTATGTCATTGATTGCAGTCCCCACAGTGTAACATCACCTACCCTCTTTCTCCCTGTGTTTACTGGTTCAAATTCTCCTTCTTTCCTAACCCTTTGAACTTTGACCTTAGGTAATTGCTACCCTTTTGATCTCAAACAGTTGATTGTTCTAAGGTGTGCTTAGCTCACTAGTGTTATTGATCTCTTTATAGACCTATTGTTTGGCTGACAATTGAGCCGTGGGGGCAGGGCTTGGGGGGTACTCAGTTCTTGACCTACAGTCTCAGGGGTTTCATCAATCTCTATAGCCTAGACTTTTTTATGATTTTGAATTCTGTTCCACATTTTCTCCCATTCTGTCCAGAACCTTCTAATGTAATCTCTTTCAGAACACTTGCTAGATACCATCTAGTTCTGGACATAGGGTCATGAAGGTTGATGTTTTCATGGTTTATTAGTCCATTGGACTCATTGTTTGTATACATCTTTGATTTTCTTTACTCTTCTTTACTCTTTACAATAGTTGTATCTTAGATAGCCACTCATGAGCTTTTAAGACCCCAGTCACTATTCACCAAAGTACAATGTAATACATTTTCTCTGTGGACTAGGTTATGCTAGTAGACCTTGGTGGTCTCTGAGACTATGGTCCTGAGACCCCAGGCCCAGGGAATATCTAAGAAGTGTTCATAACTCTGTACCCTCATACTCCACCATGTTATGGATGTATTTGCAGCATCGTTAAATACACATGTAAAAACATACTCTGCCAAACCTATATGTCTAGTCCCACTCTCCCACACCCATTTAGCCTTTGTGTCTATCCATCCATTCACTTGAAAATCACAGTTATTGCAGGGTTGTGTATATAACTATATTTACTTTTTTCCCTTACCTTCCAGTATCTTCCTCTGACTCCATTATTTTTTACTAATCTCCTTCTTATTAGCCCAAGTTAATATATGTCTACCCAGTAGTTGGCAATTTAACCTTCCTTCCCCTTCTCACTCCTGGTAGCCATAAAATAATGTTTCTTTTTGTGTGAAAGCATTCTCTTGACTTATTATGATAGTGGTCCTTTTCATATATCTTAATGCAATGAAACTTTGAGTGACTAAGGTTAGAAGACAGGCCTCAAGTCACACTTGTCAAACAGGCTAATTAGGGATTCAGAGTATTTGCATTTGGCATGTAGCAGGACAGTCAAATGATTGGTCTTGTAATTAAATTCTTATAATAAGGCATTTTGACTCTCTAAACAGCATTATTCTTGACCTGAAATGCTTTGATACAACCCTAGTAAAATTTTTCTATTTGTGTTTTAGAAGTCAGGCAGAAAAATGAAATTAATTATTTGGG